GTGGACATTGATGGAAATTTTTTGAATTAGCAAATAAAACTTGAATGGTAGTTTAATTAGCCTATAATTGATCACATTTAACCATTAAATGTAATAATATGACCATTTTACTTATAAAATGTCGATGTCGATAGAAATATCGAAAAAATATTTTTTTCCCTTTAATGAAGATTGATGGAAATTATTTGAATATGTAAAGTAAACTTTAATCGTAAACTTTTGACTACTTCTTTAATGTTTATCATAATAGGATTCATTTGAAAATGAGATAATTACCGACTTAGTTTCCAAACACATTTCTAAATTCTAATTAACTCGTACCTATTTACTTTTTACCTGTTTACTTTTTACCTACTTCTCTTTTCAAATTTGAATTTACCCATTTTTCAAACACATTTTCAAATCAATTATCAATCCAACTTTCCAATCAAATTTACACAATTTTCAAACACCTCAACCTCGTGATTGTGTCATTTTTTCAAATTACCTACCAATGACATCCATATGTGCTTTATATTCTACTCATTTGATCAACTACCTTCAGTCTAGGATGACCGGGGAGAACTATTGTAATTTATATCAAAGTTATCAAGATAATGCACTGGATCCTCCGAGATCATCTTTTTGGTATTAATTAAATTACCTATTCTACTTCATGTTTCACCACTATTTGTATATAATAATATTTTTATTTTTTAAAAATTCTAAGATTATTTCAATCTTTATATATGTCAATATTTCACATATATTATTCAATTGTGTAGGTAAGGATTAGATTGAATTAGAAATTATCAATAAAGCAAATTCCAAATCTTATTAGTTATACTTTATACAGTATTAAAATTCGAATCATTAAACAGACTAAGATTACAATCATTGAGGTTATGAGAAATTATAGACTGTAGTGAGATGTAAGAAGAAGATGAAAATAAAATAACCTTAAAGAAGAAGAGGAAAAAAAATGACATGGGGGAAAATCGACTTTTCCCCCTATGTCAGTGTCGACATGCTCGACACTGGACATGTTGACATGTCTCTCGATATTTTGACCTCTGGTCTTAGTTCCCTCTCCTTGGAAGAACTTTGTTACGCATAATTTTCAACCCTGGAGGGTGTTATTTTATTTTTGTTTTCTATTTTTCAAAGCTGAAGTTTGTTTTTTAAAGGGGAAGTTGACTACACTTTTAACCTAACCAAGGGAAAGATCTAATTAACAATTATTTAAATTAGAGGGTTTGAATTTTTTGCCATTAAAATTTTGCAGGAGTAATTGTAACCATTATTATAGTTTAGACTTCAGGGGTGGTTTTTGTAATTTATCCAAAAAAGTTTGTCAAAAATATCTAGTCCAGCTACAAATGTTACGAGTGATTTAATGTTAATCAAATCATAAGGATTAAATTAATTTTTTTTTTAAATTACAAGTATCAATAAGACAAAATAAAATGATAATTTAACCTATAATTTTATCTTCAAGTTTGAATATCTTTTGGCATGATTTTAAATATTTGTTATTGATTGAAGTTGGTATAATTTGTAGATTGATTCATACATACTTTTTATGTTAATTTTAAAGAGGTTTAGTTGTTGATGCATGATTCTAGATGAGGTGACGGGTTGACTTCTAATTCGAAATGGACGTCCAATCAATTGAGGTAATGACTTGCAAACAGAATTTTGCACTGATTTTGTGGTTTCCATACTCTAAAGTTTAAGTTAGTATTTAGTTCGAACTAGTATCAAGACAAATTTAGTTAAGTTGCATAAAAGTTACGCATTTTGAGAGAATAATAGACTCTACCTTTTATAGAGGAGCTTTGGTAAACATCAGCTTGCCACTTCAGCTCCATATCTGGTGTCAACACATTTTATGTTAATTGCATTCCAAGCTACCGTTGAGATGTACTTTTGTTTAGGGGTGAGTATAAGGACCCAAAAAACCGAGCGAACCGATCGAAACCAATTGAAAACAAGTCAATCGGTCGGTCTTTCCAACGAGTCGGTCGATTGACGGTCATGAACCCGTTGATACTGATCAACTAACTAATTATATTATAATTGAAAAAAGTTTATATTTTTATATTTTATGTATTTTACGTTTGGATAAGAACTAATATGTATTAGTAAAGTATTAGTCTAATATGTTTTTTGAATTTCTTTTAGAATATATATTACTTTCCTACTTAATAATGATCATTGATTAGTTTAAAATATCTCGTAAATAATGAAAAATACGGTATAGAAGAAAATTTGAATGAAAATAGTAACGAAAATTGAAAAGTACTATATAGGATATGATTTTTACAATTATATTGAATGAAATTTGATAATTTTGTTTTTTAATTAAATTCATTTATCTTTTTCCTTTGCAAAACAGAATTTGATAATTTAAAGCTAAAATACCATTAAGAAAAAGAGAATTAATTTTTATTTTCGTACATTTAAACATAAAATAACGACCCGACACTCCAACGCCGTCACGTCACCGTTGCTCGTGGACCGAGGCCGTGCGCCCACGCGTCTAGAGTCACGCGCCCTCTGCGTATTTCGAAAGTCTCTCATTTTGCCATCCACACCCACAAGCAGCTTTTTATTAAAGACAAGCTCCATTTATTTATTTTCCGAATGTTTTTCCAAAAAAATGCCCAATTATTTTCTTAATAATATGCACCGACTCACGGATTTTCTTTTTCGAAAATTACAATTATTTTATTTTGGGGTTATTTTAATAGATATATATATTTAAGGGCAAATTAAAATCATCCAAAAATAGAGAAAAAAATAAAGGTATAAAATTGGGAGGGGGGTTCGGCAAAACAATTCAAGGCAATAACATTCTAAATTTGTAAATATAAAAAAAAAAAAATCGAAACTCATTCAAACAGACGTATATAACTTAGCGGTAAATATAATTGATATTTATATGTCAAAATAAATAGGTTGTAAGTTTGAATTCTCACCTCACATATTGTACTAAAAAAGTTAAAAGAGTCTTGAAATATTCATTAATTTATGAAAGATAGATGTAAATATTTCCCTTTAAATATTTAGTTAATTTTTTTTTAAAAAAAAGAAGTAAATGATAGGTTTTTTTAACTGTTTTCTTTTTCTAATTTCGATTATAAAAATGTTCTTAAGAAATGAGAAATAGTTTACAAACAAATAATCTATCAGGAAAAATATTTTTTCATAAATATGAAAAGTCATTAAAATGTTATTATGCCAAAAAAAAGCCATAAATTACTGTTAACTTATTAGAGAATAATCTTACTATCATTCTTATGTTTGACAATTCAAATTTGAAGTTTCTTTAAAAAATGGAAAAAAAAAACAATTCAAATTTGAAAATGAAATTTAAATCTACAACCTACCTAATATCTTGATTAGTGGGTCATAACAATTAATATCATGTTGATAATGATTAATTAGTACTATTTATCAACAAGACATTAATGTAATAAATGTACATTTTAAAATATGTTAGAAAGTATACTATATTTAAATAGAAAAGGAATGTTGTATTTTAAATTTATGCTATTGAGTCAAATTTCTTTTTAACTCATACAAAAATCTTAAAAATTTTCAATTTGAGGAAAGCGGAGTGAATAAAGCACCCATCACTTATCTCGAAAATTCGATTCTCGGCCCATATAGTTACATACATATATATACTTGTCAAAAAAAAAAAAAAAAAACCATACATATATATGAATTCATAACATTATTTTGAGCTAATAATTCTCTATCTGTTTATTTATTTATTTTATTTTAGATCTAAATATAATTTATTTTTAGTTTCTTTTAATACAACAATTAGAATGAGGGAGGAAAACTTAAATAATTAAGACATTTATTAAGATTTTTTAAACTTATTTGTAAAATAATACTGGTTTAAAATAAATTTTAATAAAGAATGTGTCCCAAAATTATCCCAAAAATAATGCTGGGAAATTCGGGCTGCATTATTTTCGAAATGAGTTTAAAAAAATATTATTAAAAAAATCCCATTTATCATTCAACAAACAATTGAAGGTTGGAACTAATAAAACAAATAAATAAAAATAAAAAACGTCAACTCACGTAGAATTTTTCCCTTTTTTGGGGTCAATTTTCTTCTCTTCTGTTCTTAAAATTATAGATCATTATTGCCAAAACAGCCCCTTCATCCTCCTGGGAGAGTCAGTTTGAAAGTCCAAACAGAGTGGCAGTTTCGGAATTTTAAGATTCATTTAAGGATTCAGCCGTAATTTCACTCCAACACTTCACTCTTTCCCGAAACCTATCTCCTCACACGTGGGTTCGATGACAACCGCCAAAAAGGATTAAAATAAGGAAAAAAAGAAAAAGAAAAAAAACGTAAAAGTTAAAACGCAATTACGGAAGCCGTTTCAAAATGTGCCACGTCATCACTTTCCAGTTTTAAAAGCTCCTCAAAGCATATTCAAATTTCACCCCATCTCAACGGTTAGATTCTCTGCACTAACAGCCATTCTCCACCGTCCGATCCTCGAATCATGCTCGACATTTGAACATCGTATTCCCTTTCCCCGAGATCATCTGTAACTCGCTCTCTACAAAGAACCTGAGAAGATGACATAAAATCTCAAACATCTTCTTCCCAGCTAGAGAGAGAAAATTTATGGAAGTTTTGATTTTCGAACATGTGTTGTTTGTATCCAAATCTCTTTTATTTTCTTGTTTGTTTCGGCTGTGAGATCTCTCTCTCTTTTACCCATTTTTAAATTTTTGAATCTCTTTTGACCGTTTTCTCTTCTGGAAATCAAAACTGGCTTCTGGGTCTTCTTCAAATCTCGTATATCTTCTTCTCCCTTTTCTCAAAACAGAGTAAAGCAGAGATTCTAAAGGTTTGATTGAAGGTGAAGATATTTGTTTCTGAGTTGCTTTCTGGGAAAAGAAAAGAAAAGAAAAGAAAGAAAAAGAAGTGCTGCAAAGATTATTACAGTTTCGCCGAGTCTTCAAGGTTGGTTCTTGATGTTGCTTTCCTCTCTGTTTTCTCTGTTTCATTTCTCTGAATGCCTTTGAAGTTTGAATGGATTAGTGGAAAGTCAAATCAGTTTGTGGGTAATGTTTGCAAGTGTTTTCTACTGAATCTGATCGTTTTTGTTTGGATTTTACTGAATTTTCCAAGAACAAATTAGTAGTATTCCTTGTACCAGCTGTAGATTGTGACCCTTTCTCTACCTTCTCTTCAAAGGAAAGTTTCTCTCTCTCTCTCTCTCTCTCTTAAATGGGGCCAAGGAAGCTGCTTCCCCTTTTCGTCGCTAAATCAGGACCGTTGGATTTAGATCACTTCTACTCTCTAAATTTATTTTTATGTTCATTTTTGTGCGATATTGTCTTCTGTCGGCTGTTTTCTGTGGAAATGACTCGTGGGGATTTTCTTTGATTCTCGAAGCTCTTCTCTTCTTTATGCTTTGCCCCTTTGTTTTTGTATTTTTCTATTTGATACCTAACTTTAAAGTAATTCCAAAAGTAATTTGTAATTTACTTTGTCTTATGATTGCAACTGCTCCACTGCCCCTTTTCTGAATTCTTCCCATTCCCAAATCCCACATATCATTTTCTTTCCCCAAGTTTATAATTGGTTTCTCGGAGGAATTCAGCTCTGATCTGAGTTTCAGTTGTGTTTTGTTTCCTTTTTTTCAGATCAGAATCATGGTGGAAGAGGAAGGATCGGCGGAAGAATGGCTGCTGCAAGCTCAGAAGCTTGTTCCTGTGGCTCTGGGGAAGGCTATGGAGGTGAAGGTGTTCCCGGGGCGATGGAAGGCGATTGTTTCGAAGCTCGAGCGGATTCCTTCGCGGTTATCGGATTTGTCGAGCCATCCTTGCTTTTCGAAGAATGCTCTCTGCAGGGAGCAACTGCAGGCTGTGTTGAAGAGCTTGAAGGAGACCATTGAATTGGCGGAGCTTTGTGTTAGGGAGAAATTTGAAGGCAAGCTGCGAATGCAGAGCGATCTCGACTCGCTATCGGGGAAGTTGGATTTGAATTTGCGAGATTGTGGCCTGCTGATCAAGACGGGGGTGCTGGGTGAGGCTACTCCGGCTCTATACGTGTCGGGTTCTTCGTCGCAATCAGAGCCTGCTGAGTATAGCAACATAAGGGAATTGCTT